GTGGCCTGGCGGGTGCGGGGGGGGGGGGGGGGGGAATATCGGAGCTTTCCTGGCGCCAGGAGCCCTTGAGCAGGGCATGGGGGACACGGCCCGAGCCCTCACGTCCTTTAGGGACGGTTGGATCCCATAACCTTAACTCTTGGCCCCTAGGAGTGGTCTGTTTAACTCGATAAATTAATTGCTCTTGTATTAATCAGCTGAAGACTCCAAATCCTGCAGCGCGGGCCGGAGCCTTGCTGCCAAGCGAGGCCAGGAAGCGTTTCTGATTTACCAGGCTGATAATAAATACGCCCCAAAATACACCGGCAATAATTTGGGGGGTTGGTTTTTTTATACCCTCCGCCAAATCGCCTGTCCCACGGCGCTTTGCGTCCCTCATCTCCGCAAATAGGCATCCCTCGTGCAGGCAGAGCAACCGAATGTATTTTTCTTGCCTGAAAAAAAGAGCAAAAAGGACTTTTGGTGCACGGCTGGACAGTTTGCAGAGAGCTGGAGGAGAAATAGTCTTATTTGGAGGCTTGAAATGCAAAGCAAGTGCCCACACCTCATCCGGGGGTGATTTCATCCCTGCATCTGAGCCGGTGTGGGGAATTAGAGGAGACGCATTGCCGAGCGAACAGCACCATCTCCCGTCTGAGCCCAGCCCTGGCTCCCAGGATCAGCCCTGGGGATGGTTTTGCAAGGCTGGGTCTCCCAAAGAACCCTCCAAATTTAGGCTGAGCTTTGCAGCCGGCCACGCTGGAGGCCGGCGCTCGCTTGGTTGCCGTTTCAGAGCAAAATGCAGGAAAACGCCTTGACTTCGCCTGCAACCGCTCGCCTAGAAAAACACGTCTCCGAGGGATCTCGGCATCTGGGGATGCTCAAGAGCAGCCCCGCTCCCCCATCTGAACACGCAACCCCAAAACTCCCCAGCACAAGTTGATTAACGAGGACGTTAATCGCTTTTAAAGCCTTTTCCTGCAGCGCAGCCCTTTGCAAGGGCTGGAAATTAAATGGCCGGGGGGGGGGACGGAACGGACGACGGGACGGATGGGAGCGTGTCCCCGTGTATCGCACGCTGGCAGGAGGGAAAAAGCGAGAAAAATTTGGGAATGCGATGTAGGGAGTGCGGGACCATCCCTGCGGCGTTTCTGAGCTCGGGCTGTAAATCAGGGCCGTGAGCGGAGGATGCTCCTGACGGAGTCTGGACATCGAAGCAGGTCTGGATGCAAAAACATATGCTGGAAAAATGCAAATTTGAGCTGTGGCTGGAGTTTCTGCCGGGTTTATTGTTTATAAGCACATTAATTGCGTGCTTAATTGTAATTAACAGAAGCACATTAAAAAAAAGAAAAAGAACCCCTCAGTGCATTAGAGAAATAGGTGGATTTGTTCAAACTACAAGGTGTGCCCTAAGCCGGGGGCGAGACCACGACGATTTTCACAGCTGTAAGAGCATCGGCCTCGGGGGCGTCCCGTGCCCACCTGCTCCGACATGCTATTAAATCCCTCAGTAGCCAAATGACTTCTGTAAAATTTAAGAAAGTATTGTAAAAGAGCCCAGAAAAATCAATGTACGCTGGCCAGGGCTCCTTCCACCCCTCGATAGAGGCGAGACCCGACCCAACCGCTCTCCTGGGGAGATGATAAGGACATTCGTACCCCCCAAAAAACCACTGATTCTAAGGGGAGCTGACCCGCTCACAGATATCCAGGCTCAAAAAGACTTCGGTGAGGGACTTACCTGCTGGAGGACAATGATTGCAGCTGCCCGCAGGTTTCTTGGGGATCCCCAATATTTCGCTTGGCACCTCTCTGTTTTCTTCGCTGACGGCAACGGTTGAGCTGCTGCAGCTAAACCAGGTTTTAGGGAAGGTTTAACCACCCAAGACAGGGACTAGAGAAGAAAATGCAGATGCTGGAGGGGAAAGCATCCCTCACCGCTCCTCTTAAGCGCTTCCCAGGGAGGATTTGCATCCCCTCTGCCAAACACGAAGCACCTGAGGGAGGGTCAGTCCCACAGCGGGGTGTGTTTTGGGCTGGGGATGCTAAAGATTGGGACGTGTTTGATCATATCAAAGCCAGAGAGATGGGACGGGGGAGGGGGGGTTGTCCCCGAGCACCACGCTCGCCCCCCCTGCAGCATCCCTCGAAGATGCGGCTCTTGCTTGGGTTGCGACTGGTGCTAAACACGCTGGATTTGGTTAAAAAAAGAGAGGATGTCTCAAGGCCAAACTTTATTGCAAGGCAGAGGGGTCCGTTTTCAAGCCCCCGCATCCCACACCCCCCCCACCCCCCCGAGTCCCAGAGCTCTTTTGGGGGGAAAGGAACGTTTTTTGGTAAAGCCGTGGAATGGGAAACCAGAGCCAAGCGCTGGCGGGGCTGATCCAGCATCTCTCCGGGTGCAAATATCCGCACGTCCTTTCAGGGCTGGATTTGCTCACGCACGTGCTCTTGCAGATGGGGTTTTGCAGGATCTGCTGGCCCCCGGGTGGCCCCACAAGCACGGGGATGGCTGCCCAGCTCCGGCTGCTGGCGCAGGGTCCCGTCGTGCCGGCGGGGGGAAACCGAGGCAGCGGCGGAGCATCTCTTCCCCCTCCCCAAGCCACATCCAATCTCCCCGGAAAGTCATTCACTAAGAAATCCC